GGTTAAAGCACGTTATTGAATTATCTTTGTTGAATAATGTTATTTTTGTTGAATAATGTTATTTGATGAAACAAATATTAAGAGTACATACTTTCATAGGGGGAAAGTAGAAGGTCAATGGTAGAAATAAAGAATATAAAAAATCAAGAAGATACTATAAGTGATCTCTACAATAAAACAGTTTAGTGCAGCATGTACAAAGATATTAATAGGAGGAGGTGCAAAACAGAAAAACGAATTAACTTTTATTTAAACATTAAAGAATACTTTAGATTAAGGTCTTCTTTTAAATAAGGAAAAAGCTTTGGGGGTATCAACAAATAAATATTAAGCCTGACAAAGTACTTAACGTCTAACATATTGCTTTCCTGCAATGTTAACTATGTTGAAGCACTTATTTTAACTGATATTATACATATGAATTATACTCTTATGTATGTAGATAGTATAAGAAATGTGCAGAATATGACAGTTTAATGGTGGAGGTACACACATATTGATAGATGTATTGTAATGCACTGTTGAGGAACCTGTGACCCAAGTGTTTCATTCATTGCATAACTACACCGTAGTTGTGTATATGATATGTCAATAAACTTTAGAAAATCTTGAAATCTTGAAAGGGATGTGCAAAATAGCAATTATATATAGTTTTTAATTAACTATTAGTAGAGAATAACGATTAATGAATATGCTTTATAGAGATCTGCAGATAAATGTTTGTCTAAACATAAATGTCTTCTCAAGCACCAACTATCAAATATCTCTCCTGATTGTTGGCACTTGACAATCACCTTACCTGAATTTTACTCAGGTGTAACTAAAGTCTGATTTAAGGGTTGTTTATATTTCACATCAATAATCAGAATCTGCAAAGTAACTACAATAAGTGTAGTGGAGTAAAAATACCAGGTTAACCTCTGAATTGTAGTGGAGTAGAATTACAAAGTAACAACGAGCCGTGTAAAACACAACAAAAATGTAAAACATGTAATTAATAAATGGGTGAAAATCGCTTGTGTCCATAATGGGCAGCATTAATATATACTCCATGTGGGTATATAAATGCTGCCCATTATGGACACACCAATGTGTTTCCCATCCCCTAAACCTCCAGTGCTGTACACAGTTTAATACTGGCAACTTCTAATTGTGGGAAAAACGAAAACATCTTTTAAAACTACAATTCCCAGTAGAGACGTGCCATAGAACAGGGGTTCCCAACCTTTTTCCCCGAGAGCCCTCCCAAATGACTAATGTTGGAAGTTGCGCCCCTCCCCCACACACACACACAAGGGGGGGGGGGGGCGCATAGCGGTAATTAAAGTCTAAAAGTCTCAAAAATACTACAACTACTGTCACAAACTGGATGAATGTGAAGTATTTTGTTAAAGCCCTTGTCACACTGTCCCGAAATTGACACCCGATGGACACACAAATATGAAATTGTGAATTTCGCACGAAGATGGCCCCGAACCACACACAAAGGCAACATTTACATTACATTTAAGACATACAACTGCAATGAAAGTACCAAAAACAATTATGTTAAAGTACTATGATACTGTACTAATATCTTCAGACTTTATTTACTTTATCCGTCTTTATATGTAGAAAATATTACGTTTTCTCCGTAATGTTGTTTCCATAGCAACAACAACTTCCTGTCAACTCTACTTCAAAATAATATATTATATCCTTTTCAGTTTCACAGAACCCAAATTGGGTTATTTACATAATATGTTTACATGATTTTGTTGTGCAATAAAACAACCCGATGGACACACGATAAAGGAAATGTTCAAATTCGGCTGTGATCGTAGCAACATCGGGCCATTCGTGAGGGCATCTTAAGCCTTCGTATGACCGCCGGTGGAGTTTCTCAGGCTCCGGCAGCAACTTCGTAAGCGGTGGGAAAATCTTTGGCATGCCAAAAAATTGCAGAAGGACCTTGAGAAGGTTCATTTTCGTGTTGAATTTGTGTGTCAATTTTGCCCTTCGTAAGGCCATCGTGAGGGCATCTTGTTATCATCGGTGCCATCGGGCATTCGCCCCGATCAGAGTGAGGGCGAATGCCCGATGGCACCGATGATAACACGAAGATGACACGATTCGACAAGATGCCCTCACGAGTGCCTTACGAAGTTGCCGCTCATGAAGTTGCTGCCGGAGCCTGAGAAACTCCACCGGCGGTCATACGATGGCTTAAGATGCCCTCACGAATGGCCCGATGTTGTTACGATCAGAGCCGAATTTGAACATTTCCTTTATCATGTGTCCATCGGTTGTGTCAATCTCGGGACAGTGTGACAGGGGCTTAAAGGAGGAAGAAAGCGTAATCAAGGAGCACTATTGGAGTGACTTTGATGGTTATTGGACTCAGGATTAATTCATTTGGATTCCCGCTGTATGAAGAAATGAAAGGACGGCGCAAATAGAAACAATTCACAAAGGGATTAAACTGTTTAAAACACATGCTCAAAGTAAGCCGGATTTTGCCGATGTGTTTATGTGGATTCAAAAGTCGTAAATAATCTACGAAATGGAGGAGACCGATCTGATCGGAGCAACTGTGACAAATAATCCAACTGAAACCGGCATGGACAATGACTATGTTTTAAAAATGCGCTTATCCAGAAAAGCCCGGTTTGGACACTTTACGCGCAGAAGAAACATTTCTAGAAAGAATTATGCATTTCTGTCTTTTTATGCTACTAATTTGAATTTTTATTAAAATGAATTAATCAATTATTTGTTATAGTGTATTGTAATGTAGAGACAAGGCTTTAAGCGACAATCATGTATTGTGTAACAATTATTATGTAAAAAAAATAAAATACAAGTCTAAATATGATATTAGGCCTCAAATCATCTGAGGCCTGGCGCACCCCCTGCGATTTTTGGATCCCCCCCTAGGGGGGCGTTGGGAACCACTGACATAGAACATGTTGCGAAACCCACACTGTAAAAACCAACCTATAAGATCTACTCAATAAAATGGGGGTAACAATTTGCACACACTTCTTTTGAGTAGATGTTACCCAATGTTTTTGGGTAAAGGTTACTTGTTGTGGAATATTTTCCAAGGCCCATAACTTTGACCCAGTGTATCAGTTCAAACTGTCCTGACTGAGCACAGGCACCTGTAACCTTGGCTGCTGTGCTCTCAGTGTTTTGTCTCCCTGTTCCTGCCTGTTGGCGTCAGCTGATAGAGGTGTTATCATTCTATCTTGTTATGCAGCATGTTGATGATGCTCTCTGAACTAGCTAAATACATGGGTCTGGGGTAGAGTTCTTCAGAATTGACGTGGCAACTCTACCGTGAAGTCAGAACCTCTGACTCTTGGACTTGTGATGTGAATCCTCCGGCCGCCGTTAACTCCAAATAAACCATCATGTGTTTGACATCAAAGCTACTGCTCTTCCCGTGTCTCCTTCCTGAGTCGGTGACTCCCACTGCATAGCTACACAGAAGTTTCCTCTACATTACTAATATTTAATATATAAGATTTACTTTAAGAAATTAAGTAAAATCTAACTCAATTACTTAATAAAACATATTATATATAAATGAGTAATATTTACTCTCAATCATAGGCAGCTGGGTAAAGGTTACTAATATTTAATATTTAAGACTTACTTTAAGAAATTAAGTAAAATCTAACTCAATTACTTAAAACGTATTACTTATAAATGAGTAATATTTACTCCTAATCGTAGGCAGCTATTTACTTAATAATTGATCCATATTACACATTAATTACTTTATTAGTAAGGTTACCAGTAAACAATATATTGCCACACAAGATTTTATTGATCATGTTTTTTTTATTGACCAAATGTATAAGTGCAATATGGTTACATTGAGATTATTTAAACAGTTAAGTGCATTTCAATTGTTAACACTGAGCAGAATCTCCAAAATAGTCACAATCACATTGTTTTAACAGTAAAGTGCATGGAAATTGTAAACATTTTTAACATAATCTTCCAAGTGCAATTTACTCAACTATTAAAACCTTTACGTGCCAGTAAACAGTACACTTTTAACAGAACAAGGTTTCTCCACATCCATTACATTCCACATCACATTATTTTGTGTTTGTGTCACTCGGCACTAAAACAAGTCAACATCCACTTGAGAACAAATTGTTTATTTGCGGCTCTGGACCTGTTTGAGCAGCTTGGCTCCATCAAGCTCCAAAAACTGTTTTTAGAATACCTTAAATGTGTATTTGAGCTTGTTGGGGTATTCCAGGTTGAGGGCGTAGAGATGAATCCCATCAACAGTGCACATGCCTTTGTTTGGTTTCCGCACAAAACTCTGTCTCCCTCTATGACAATAGACACATCTGCTGGTCCTGTCCCTGGCATCATGGATCACAAGCACCTTCATAGTTTGGTCCACGACGTTGTCATGCTCGTCCTCCATGTTGAAAAGAAAGAAAGAAAAGCATATTCACTTTAAATTAGGCATATTAACAAGAAGCTATTATACAATATAGGCTTTGTGGTCTAGCATTAAGCCTAATCAATAAAACCAGGGATTGACTTTTTTTTAATGATTTGTAAAAATGTGTGGCAGCGATTAAAAATAAAACAAGATTTCTAACTTATATAAAAAATGTCAGGCCCAGTCAAATTGCCCATCGATCTAATCAATGGCATTAAATTGATTGATTGATGATTCTTTCCCATGAACATAACTTTTCAGTGCATGATTTTATTTATCTTATTTCACTTTAACACCAAAAGAAGGTTTTTGTTTTTTGGTAGTTGTATATGTTAAGTAGCTAAGCACATCAGTACATTATCCCTAAATAATTTTCCTGCTAAACCATTTATAAAAACAATAAGATGTTTAGAGATTTACAGCAATAAATTGCATATTTATTTGTTAGGTGTCAGAGTGGTTAATCACAGAAATTAAACAATGGTATCAGAGCAACCTCCGAAATAACTCCGTTAAAATCTTGAAGTGATCAGTCTTTAATGACATACCTGGCTGTCGTGAAAAAGGTCTTCTTGGCGTTCCTCAAGGTCTTCAATCAGGCACCTGGCCACTGCATCCCTTCTTTTTTCTATACTCTGGGGCTGTGAGGAAATGCATTTTAGTGAGAAGACTTATTTCTGCATTTTCATATTCTTGAATGAAACATTTAAATAAATGTACCTCATCAATTGCGCTCAGAAGAGGGCGCATCCTGGAGCCAGCATCTCCTCCTTTGGCACGCATCAGCTGGAGCGACTTAGTGTACCCATCCAGTTTCAGCATCAAAGTCTCTTCCAGTGAAAGAGTTGTTATGTGTCGGAACTCCTCCTTGATCTAATAAAGAGCATAGGGGACAACACTCATTACTCACAACAGTGAGTTGAAATGGAAACAAATAAACGTAACGTTCTCACCTGAGCCTCATTGAATAAACCAGGCCATCTCTCCTTGAAGACACTGACACGTGGGCTGAGGGTCACCACCTCCACTCCAAATTGTCTGCAGGATTTAAAATGCATAGGACTTAGGTGCTGTCTCTGAGGATGTTACACTTATATTCACATTTCTTACACTGAACATTACCAACAAAATAACACAATTAAACATTTATATGTAGACAAATCCTAAAATATATAACAATGAGCTTTGGCTCTGCTCCGTGGTAATCTCTCCAGTCCTCGCGATAATATACAGTAAGCTTAATGTAAACATAAGTCTATAGGCTATTGCTGCAGCTATACCTCAAAAAAGACAAATTAATCATAAATCATTATTACTGTGGCTTGGCTGAATATACGATGGTTATTTTTCACTAAGAGATAGTCGCAAGATAGTTGTATCAGTATTTATCGTTTCATGCACGCTCATATGAATACAGACACACGAGGAAACTGACGGCCGACGTTAGATAGACTAAGAGCGATGCTACAAGCTAGCTTCAACTTAGTTAGCCTTGTGCATCATTTTAATGTGTCCCCCGCAAACCGTTACTGTACTCAATACTACTCAACCGGGTCAGAGTTCGTCATATTACTTGAACTGACATGTTATTTAATAAACGGCTACTGATGTTTGCAGTGTGCATCACCATTGGATACTGTGTGGAAAATAACATTGGACAAACACACCTTATATAGAGGACGACCAACTTCAAAGGTTGATTTAAACGAATGCCGCCTTCCGCGCGCTGTTCTTGTTAGTACTTAGCTAGCAAACAATAGCCTTCTCTGCTAAGCATGCACGATGCTAACGTGAAACACAACTTGGCTGGTTAACTTACATTAATATACATCTGTCGCCGTGACGCTTAACTCATTTCAGACGGCATGCCGTCAACATGCACATTATTGCTGTAATAACAATTATTAACAATATGGAGCTAAACATCATAGTGCTTTACTCTTAGCTCCTATGTTAGCTACAGCTATCTAGCATCAGTGACCGACTTCCAGTGAGTAATAGATGAGAACAAACTTACATTCCTTGTCTAACAGTGAAGCAAGCAGACAACAAGTCTTGTGATGAACCTCAAAAAACGTGAACATTTATATGTAGGACATGATAGACAGTAATATCTTACCTACCAACATTTCCACACACCAGGAGGAGGGAGGCGCGAAAGAGAACCGTTCCTCTGGCCTGCAGCCAAGAATCACCGCAGACGCATGCGCAAAGGGGCAGTGTGGGCCTAATGTCTTCGATTAGATTTTACCCAGATTGTTTGTGTTTCAGTTGGTACTGTCAGCAATTAGGTAGTGTAGGTAGAATGTACCCATTCAAATATACTAACAATGCTCACTTATATACCTTGAGTACAATTTAAATGATTTGCTTGGATAATATATACTACCCTCCAAAATCCTTTTTTATAGTGCATGTGCGAAACACAATAGCCAGCATGTGTAGTTCTGGTGGGGCGTTCGAGTGCAGTTTTGGATAGTCTGCCGTGGTTTCGTTAAAAGAAGTCTGACATTATAAGATTTAAAATAAAAACAATAATCGTGGCTTGGTATTGAGTAAGAACATCTTTTTATGAACCACACAGCTTCCGGTCTACCAAAACCCGACCAGACAAAAACAAGTGGTGCAGCCACGAAACGTGGCATATCATATGCACGCAAAACTCGGCCTCAGATCTCAATGGGAATGGTTAGCGTATCATATGCACCAAAATCAGACTTACGCGTATCTATTGCACGCATTTCCAATGTGTAAAGTCGTGTCATTTGTACGCAGACTGAAGAGAGTGGTTTGATGTGCAGCAGTTTGACTACATCCTGCAACACTGTGTCAGCAGGGGAGGCTAGAGGAGATTACAACTCAAGAATCAGCACTCGCACCCAAAGGGGATGTGTGCCCCCCCCCCCCCCCGGCTCTTGTGCCGCTACACCAATGACTGCAGAAACTTGCAGACGACACAAAGGTTATCGGCCTCATCTGGGAGGGTGAAATATATGCATACAGATGGGTATTGAACATCTGGCCCTTTGGTGCTGCCAGAACAACCT